TGGTTTACTCAATTTATTTCATTTTTATTGATTTCCAGTTTTGGCAACCTTAATGGAAGATTGATTGTTTTATTTTATGGAAGAGAGTAAAAATTTTTTTTTTGCAATTTAAATATTTTATAAGCAAGTTCAATAATAGCATGTACAGTTGAGAAGTTTTTCTGAGAGCCAAATTGATTTTTGTATAAAAGCGTATTTAATTTCATGTAATCAAAGTTAAATTCTTAAACTAAAAAAAAATTTAAATTCTTAAATTCTATTATAAATTTTTTTTTTTAAAGATTTTTGAAAAGATAGGGAGTAGTGATATAGGACGGTATTTGCAAATAGAAGTACAGTCGCCTTTTTTAAAAACTGGGTGAATTATGGCTGATTTTAATTTATTAGGAAATAAACTATTCTCAAATGAAAAAGCTATCAAATAATATATTACTTATACTATCCGCACCATAGATGGCTACATTACTGGTAATGTCATCATATTTACATATATTTTTTGTTGTTAAATTCACGTTTACTTATTTTTTCATTACATATGCTGGTCCTGGGTTTCTCTCCTAAGTAATCATCGAAGTTTTTAGTTGACTGAACAATGTTAGATGCAAGAGAGACATTAACAAAGTATTTGTTAAATTCTTGACATAAATTTTTTTCACTAGTTATAAATTTGTTGTTAATACTTACTTTTTGTGGCAAGCAAGAGAGCCTTTCTCTCTTCCACTTACTTCATTTATTATAGACCAAGTTTTCTTGATATCAAATTTATTTTTTTCCAGCTGGTTAGAATAGTATTTAATTTTAGCTTGTTTCACGCTATATTGAAAAAACTTTTTATACATTTTGTACTATATTTGTTAACCAGAGGATTTTGTGCAATTCCAGAAAAACAACATTCTTTCATAAGGAGATTGAGAACGAGGTATTACATTTTTTCGTATCGAATATTACAAAACATTTAAAATCGTCCATGTTCATTTCGCAAATGCTACTTCCGACATTTAGCATTTCGTAAGTTGACATACGAAATAGAACTATTTTGCAAGAAACGAAAGTAGCCGTTTCGGAAGTCGCACTTGCGAAACAAGCATTTTCGCCAAAGACGTTTTGAAGTCTATAAAGAAAACTTGTTTGCTACCATTTTTATTTTTTTCCTACAAACCGCGTTAAATGAATTTGGCTAATACGGGATGATTTTAAAGGTATTTACATCTACAATATGGTATAGAAATAGCATACTTGCTTTGTGGGGAATTCGATGTAAGTTTCCTAGAGACAAAATATAAATTTACCAACGTTTTACTATTGTATTATCATGTGACTAAAAATCTAGTTATTTACAAATATCAACAACTTGTATATAAATTTAACAATCATTATTCGATCTCAGCGGATTTTAAAATGCGCTGTAAAGCAAATACATAAAGTAATTTGTCATTATTACCGAAGAACACTTCAACAACTCATGGGAAGACGATGAGTGATTGAATTTATATTATAGATATAAAATAATATTTTCAATAGTTTGTTTACTATTTGAACTGTTCTATAATATAATATGCTGAGAAATAAATGTATAATTTAACCAGAAAAAATCAATGGGGCTTACACATATTTTTAATGTTGTTTTAGGGGAGGGAGGGGTACAAAATCTGACATCATATATAAGGGTGGTTTTGTCAAAAATTGACAGAGTTTGACTAAGAACGGAGGGGGTTTAAAAATTGAGAAAAATCCCAGACATCAATTATGGACAACCCCTTTTACTAAGTTAGTATACGAAAGTGCCGAGCCGTTACTCAAGGAAATAAATGCCCTAAATGTATACATTTAAACATCTACCATAACTTGTTATTTATGTTTAAACTTCAAAACGAATTAATTCCGAAATATTTTTATAAAAACTTCTCTCTTATTAATCATAAATATAAAACAAGACATTCAATAAATAATTACTACATCCCACTAACATCACTCAAAAAGTCTGACTTCTCAATTACATGTCGGGGACCACGCTTGTGGAACTCGGTTCTTGACGAAAATATGAAAAAAATAAAATCTATAGATATATTTAAAAGAGCTATTAAAAAAACACTTACTAAATTTAAACAATACTTACATTCTTTCATTTTTTTAATTAAAATATATTATGAAGTTTATTGGATATGTATACGCATATGTACGGATTTGTAAATTATTTTTTTAAACTTTTTTATTTTTTATTATTTTCAAACTTTTTAGTTTTGTCAAACTTAAAAATTATTTTTTAAACTTTTTGATTTTTTCAAACTTTTTAATTTGTTTTTTTAAACTTTTTTTAATTTCACTCTTTTATATATTATTGGAATATGTGAAAAAATTTTTTTTTTATTTTTACGAAGGGGCTTGATGATAAGACATTTTGTCTTCTACTTGCCCCAGTCAGCTTGCATTTGTATAAATTTATTTGAATATAAGGTTAACATTGTAAAATGTGTCAAATGACGAAAAATAAAAAAATAAAAAGTTGGAAAGTTTTTCAATTTTCCTTGAACGTTAATAAATATAATACCAATAATAATAATAAATAAAAATACCAAGAGCTACGCTTAACTCGAACATTCCCTAAGCCGTACTATTTATCTGTTTCCATTGAAAGTCCAACTTAACGGGGTTTTACTGTATATATATATATATATATATATATATATATATATATATATATATATATATATATATATATATATATATATATATATATATATATATATATATATATATATATATATATGTCATATCTTGTTGTACGTGAATATATATATATTTAAAATATAAAGGATAAAACATTAGCTGCGTACAAACTAAATTTTTTCTTTGTAATATTTTTAATAATATTTTTGCACAGATCGTCATCAGACGTAAAATTTTAAGCAGCTGTTGTTTTATGCTTTATAGTTTAAATATATATATATATATATATATATATATATATATATATATATATATATATATATATATATATATATATATATATATATATATATATATATATATATATATATATATATATATATATGTCATATCTTGTTGTACGTGAATATATATATATTTAAAATATAAAGGATAAAACATTAGCTGCGTACAAACTAAATTTTTTCTTTGTAATATTTTTAATAATATTTTTGCACAGATCGTCATCAGACGTAAAATTTTAAGCAGCTGTTGTTTTATGCTTTATAGTTTAAATATATATACATATATATATATATATATATATATATATATATATATATATATATATATATATATATATATATATATATATATATATATATATATATATATATATATATATATATATATATATATATATATATTTGTATAAACACTTGAAGAATCATATAACATTATTTTTTTATAATTTTATTATATATTACTTAAACTGTTAACAGTTAATATCTTAAATATGTTGTAACATAAAATCTTTTGCGTCTTTTTCGTGACTGCACATTCCGGAACGTTCCTTCCGTAGGAACTATTTCGTAAGTATACTTACGAAATGATTGTTTCGCAAGTTTTCTTTCGTAATGCTTTATTACGGAATTTTATTTATTTGTATTTCATATAGTGTGTTACGGAATGTGCATTTTCGCATGTGCAACTTCCGCAATAACAATTCTATTACGGTCGAAATTTTCGCAAGTTTTGTTTTTTGGCGAACAACCCTATTTTGTACGTAACTTCGTCATTTTTTTTTTTTAGATTTCAGAAATTTTATATAAAGCTTGTGTTTACTTTTTGATGATTTTACCAAACTATTAGTCATCCATCGGTTTTTGAATTGTTTGTTTTTCATTTCTGTGGATAATTTTGGGCAGACATTGTCATACATATTTTGAAAAATATTCGAAAAATTATCAAACGCGGTATTGGGGTCTACAGAGGAATATACGTTTTCCCATTGCTCTTCGTGCAGCTTCTTTTTAAGTTTACCTAGGTTTTTAAGACAGAGATTTCTATTAGTAACTGTAATTTTTTTTATCTCGTTTTTAAATAAAACTCTGAGCGCAAATAATAGGAAAATGATCAGAGAAGTCTGTAATAAAAATATTCGATTTTAGTTCGAAATTAGTATCTTGCTATTAGTTAAAATATTATCAATTACTGACGAAGTATTTTTTGTAATACGCGTAGGCTTAAAGATGATTGGTATAATGTTAAATCCAAATAATAAGTTAAAAAAGTTTTTTGTATTTGCAAACTTTACGTACACATGGCATCCAAGTTTAAATCACCGGCAAAAAAATATGCTTGTTTTGAATACTCATTTTTGATATAATGTTTCCAAGGCTATTATGAGAGTTAATTTGGTTAATTAATGTATCAAATGAGGGGTGTTCCATAAAGTACGTCTCGCCACATAACACAATAGAACTATATATACAAGGTAGCAAGAAGTTAACCCAAACAAAGGGCTATCAAGTTTCTCTTCAATTTGTTCTATATAAAGTTGTGCAATTATATTCGACTTAATTTTTTGAAAACGCATTATCAATAATTATTTGTTATCACAAAAGAAATATATTTTGGGTATTTTTGAAACGTTTAAAAACTTTGAAAAATTTACCCATTAATTGGGTAATAAACAATTTATAAAATCTGAATTTAAAAAAGTTTGCTCCTGAGTAATTATTGAGTATTACGAAAAAGCATTTAGATACATCAAAAACTTACAATAAATACCTATTGACTTTTTTTGGTGAAGTTGTTTCCAATTACCAATTAACTATTGCAAATAATTTTGGAAAGATTTTTTGGGACTAACTATTATTGTCCAAATGTTGATTTCTTGACTTAATATGTTTTTAGCAATCCATAAACTGCTCTTGTGGATATGATTATTTTAAAGCAACTAGAGATTTTCATAAAAAATACTGCAATTGCAAGGTAAAGCAAGTAAATGGTAAATGGTCCATATAAAAATTATTTATTTATTTTCAAAAAAATATATATTTATACAACTAATTAAATTCAGCTTGTAAAGAAAAAGTAAAAATTTCTTCTGTAAAATTTTATCGTTGCACACTTCATCAAATAACACGCCCATTGATATTCAAAACTCTTGTTACCTAAAAAAAATATTGAACAATTTTAAAAATCTAAATTAAAATTTTTTTTTTTTTTTGCAAACACTAACTATTTGTAGAACTTCTAGATGGGGTTATTTTGAACATGGCATATATATATATATATATATATATATATATATATATATATATATATATATATATACATACATATATATATATATATATATATATATATATATATATATATATATATATATATATATATATACATACATATATATATGTATATATATATATATATACATATATATATATATATATGTATATATATATATATATATATATATATATATATACATATATATATATATATATATATATATATATATATATATATATATATATATATATATATATATATATATATATATATATATATATATATATATATATATATATATATATATATATAAATCTGCATATGTTTATATAAACTATAGTATAGTAGAAGAATCTAATAGATTTTTTTTCTGCATATGTTTATTTTATCAATATATATATATATATATAAAATATATATATATATATATATATATATATATATATATATATATATATATATATATATATATATATATATATATATATATATTATCTTTATCAAATTACAGGTAAAATAATATTTAAATAGTCAAACAATAAATTAAAAATCAGCTAAAACAACACGGCTCTTGTAGTTGTTAGCAATAAATGCTTATAAACAGCCGGTTTGTTTTCCACATATTATTGGGACAGAGTTCTAGGAACATTCTCCTCCCTCAAGATTTTAAACGCCTCTCTCTTTTCTTTCAAATTCCAAAACTGGAACGTTTCTTTCAATATTAGCATAACATTAGTCTGTAGCTCTACGATGGGTTGCGTCAATTTAATTTTTTTGCCATTTAACATGCACTGTATGAAATTTAAATCAAGTGTGTTGCATGCATCAAAAACTTCGTTTGTAAAGGATTTTTTATTCTGTGTTTCCTGTATTTGATTAATTATCAGTGAGTAACAAGTTTGATTTTTCAGCAGCGTGATAAAAAGGTTAACTTTGTTTCTAAGGAGAATAGTTTAGATATCTTCTATTTTAAAAAAAGAATGAACGTAATTTTTACTGTACTTCGAAATACAAAAAAAATGATTTTAAGACTGCTCTTCCAACAGCGTCTATTTTGCTGAGAAAGTTAGTATCATATTTACATAGTTCAAGACCATATATAAGCTTCGGCACTGTTAATGTATTGTACAGATGAACAATTGTTGATGGCTGGCAGTAACGAATCCCACTGTCGATTAGAGCTTTTGCAACTGATTGAAACTGAGTTATACGCTCATTTAAATTTTTCTTTCGGAGTGTTGCAATTTTATTTTTGCTGGTATCGTTATCCCATTGGAAACCCAGATGTTTTAATTTATTTTGAAGATATATAGAAACTCCATTAATTTTAACAACGTTGTTAGGAATATAACTTTTTCCAGAAATTAGAAATTCTGTTTTCTCAGTGTTTAGCTTGATAAAGTTTGCTACTCCATATGTTTGAAATCTGTTAATCAGTTCCCGCAGACCAGAGATTGTGAGGCTTAGCAAAATTGCATCATCTGCGTATGCAATTACACCAGTATAAATTCCAATTATTTTACATTCTGAGACAATTTCATTTAGGATGCTTTCAGTATAAATATTATATAAATGCGGCGATAGAATAGACCCTTGTCGCACCCCTTGTGATAGACTGAATCGATTTGAGGTAACACCTTGATAGGATATGTTTGCAGAACCAGAATGATAAAGGGATGATATTGTGTGTACTGCAGACAACGGAAGTTTTTTTTGGAAATACAGCTTCTCAAATAGCAAATCCCAGTTGCAAGTATCAAAAACTTTATTAGCAATTAAACTGCACATATATAAAGGCATGTTATTGTTTTTATAGTGCTTAACAGTTTCGCTCAGTAAAAATTCTGCGTGGAGTGTAGAACTGTTTTTTTTAAAACCAAATTGATGGGAATGGCTATCTGTTATACAGGACATATTCGTAGTATTAGATACTCTAGAAGTTTAGTAAAGATAGGTAAAATACTAATTCCTCGATAATTATCTGGATTATTAAGAGATTTTTTATATGACTTAGCAAGTGGAATAATTGTTGAAGTTGATGGATCATTTGGTACTTTTCCATTCGATAGAATACTGTTATAAAATTTAGCGAGCCACAAAAGAAGATTATTATTATGAGAGTTTTTAAGGTGTTCAGCACTTAACCCACAGCTATCTGGGGACTTATTACTATTTAATTGTGAGATGCAATTTATAATATCAGCTGATGTTATGATTAGTGAATTAGGCTCTTTACTTAGAGGTGGAGTTTGAGAAGGATTATGGTTATTATTTGTAATAAGAGGCGTATTGAGAAGAGTTTGAAAATGTTGTCTAAATTCTTGAACGGTATCTTTTATATTTTGCGATTTGTTATTTGTAAATAACCGAGTCGTTGCTTTAGTTTTGATTTTACGGATGTTATCCCAGAACCTCTGAGGATTAGTGGTTCGAAGATTTTCAATATTTATAGTTTTTTCCTGGATCTTTTTCTTATGAGCTGCTTTAACTGCTTTACGGAAGTTTTTGCGTGAAAAGATGTATCTTTTGTATTCATTGCATTTTTGTGTTTTATTATAGTTAGATTTTTGCCATTGTTTAGAGTTAAATGAAAGATTTTCTTTGCATTTTTAAAGGTCCGTTGTCCACCATGATTTGGAATACTTACAGATTTGTTGTTCAAAGCACTGCTTAACTGCTAACAAAGCAGCATTTTGGATTTTTTCGCATGTTTGTTTTAATTCTTGTTCAATTTCTTCTTCATTGAAGGTGTAGTAGTTAAAAGCTACGGGAAGGTTATGATTATATATGTTAATGAATTTTTCGTTATTCCATGCATATTTTGGGATATAATTGTATTTATGCATTATGCTATTTATTACGGTTGATAGATTAGTATGTGTAACGACAATTTTTGTAGCTATTGGTAGGTGATCACTAAAATTAAAAGGAGAAGGAGGAATAACGCTTGTATTTATAAAAGATAAGGATGACTCTTTTAGAGCTGCGATGTGATCGATATACGATGAGTTAGATAGAGTTTTATGCTGATAGGTGTATGTTGGACCAGCGCCACTGATTATATCGATAAATGAGAGCTTATTTGATTTAATGAAATTAGTTAGCTGATTAGAGAATTTATTGCGTTTTTTTATTATTACGGATCTCAGAATCGTACAGTGTTTCGGGATAAGACTGAAAATCTCCAGCAATAATACATTCACTTACATCTTCGTAGTTTTTTACGATTGAAGTGGTTAGGTTTAATTGTTGTTCGTACTTTGAAAGGGATTCCTCGTTATTTCGACATGATGTGAGATAAATACCAATAAAGACTAGATTGTGACACTTATTTTTGCCTTTAATAGCGAGAATATTGTCATCTTTATAAATTATGTGAGGAGACAGTAAAATATCTTTTTTAATAATGAATGCGCTTCCTCCAAATGGTCTTCCAAATGCTTTTTTTTCTGCCGCATAAAAAAATACTTTATGTGTCGGCAATGCCATGTTTTTTAGCACAAAAAGTTCAATATTCAAAAGCCAATGTTCCGATAGAAAAATAATATCAAATGATTTGACCAGTTCGGAAATATAAATTGAGTTCGATTTAAAACTTTGGCAGTTATATGCACAAAAAGAAATATTTTCAAAGGTTTTACTTTTTATGTTTTCTTCCATTTTGAACTAGAATTTCGTATTCGAGTTGAGTAAGAATGTTGCTGTGCAAAGGATGGTTGTTCTTTAGATGTAGAAAATATTTGTTGAGTTGGTTGTACAGAGTGTAGCGTATTAGCTGCACTCTGCTGTGGTGTTTCGTTTCTTGAGGTAACACAATGAAGCCTAAATGGTTTAACGATGATATTAGTATCCCAAATATCAGGATTTAGGACTATGTCTTTTTCAGTACTTTTTATGATAATTTTGAATGAACGTTTGTATTTATTTTCCCGGTTTAGCTCTACCTTAATAGGCTCAATACCTATTTTATTTTTGATGTGGTTAGATAGATCTTCTTCCGACATTGAGTTACAGACCCCTCTTACAAAGATATAAGATTCTCGCACCGTACGTTTGCCTGCAATAGAGTTTCTGTTAAATGCAACTTTTTTTCCGAAAATAGGCTTCATTATAGACCTTTAAATCACACGATAGTCACGATAAGGGATACTATGGAGGTCTATACTGGCCGCTTGGGACACTTTTAGAGTGGGATCTTTTTATTTTCAAATTTTTTTGACAACGACTTTATTACGATATGAAGCTAGCTACAATAGCCAGTGGGTCTTTAGCTTATTAAGCAGGCCTTCCTCTTAACCAAATGTCTGTCTTTATATATATATATATATATAAAGACAGACTTTATATATATATATATATATATATATATATATATATATATATATATATATATATATATATATATATATATATATATATATATGTATATATATATATATATATATATATATATATATATATATATATATATATATATATATATATATGTATATATATATATATATATATATATGTGTGTATACAGACATACATATACAGTAAAATCCCGTTAAGTTGGACTCTCAATGGGAACAGATAAATAGTACGACTTAGGGAATGTCCGTGTTAAGCGTGACTCTTGTTATTTGTAGAACGTTCAAAGAAAATTGAAAAACTTTCCACGTTAGTAAAAGGGGCTGTCCATAATTGTTGTCTGTGATTTTTCTCAATTTTTAAACTCCCTACCCTCTTTGTCAAACTTTGTCAATTTTTAGCGAAACCCCCCTTTATATGATGTTAGATTTTGTATACCCCCCCCCCCCCCTAAAGTAACATTAAAAATATGTGTAAGCACCATTGATTTTTTCTGGTTAAATTATACATTTATATCTCATTATATTATATTATAGAACAGTTGATACCTCATCAAATAGTAAACAAACTATTATTCTATATCTGTAATATAAATTTAATCACTCATCGTCTTACCATGAGTTGTTGAAGTGTTCTTTGATAATAATCACAAATGACTTTATGTATTTGCTTTAAAGCACATTTTAAAATCTGCTGGGATTGAATAACGATTGTTAAATTTATATACAAATTGTTGATATTTATAAATAACTAGATTTTCAGTCACATGGTAATACAATAGTAAAACGTAGGTAAATTTTTAATTTATATTTTGTCTCTAGGAAACTTACATCAAATTCCCCACAAAGCAAATATGCTATTTCTATACCACATTGTAGATGTAAATACCTTTAAAATCTGCTCGTATTAGCCATATTCATATAACGTGGTTTGTAGGGAAAAAAAATTAAAATGGTAGCGTTATAAATAACAACAAAACCGTGTAAAGTCTATTTTTGTATATAGATAGTTTTGTTTATATAAATTTCAAACCTTTTTCAATAAAAATAGTGACTTTAGTTTAAAGTCGTATTGTGACCAAATGTAATCATGATCGCAATACATTCCAACTGTTTTAAAAAGTTTTTTGTATTACTTCTGAATAGCTTCTACTCGTGGAAGGCGATAAAAATCCTATTGGCTTTCCATTTGCGTTTTTATAATGTCTTTTCATTTTAAAATCTAGGATAGCTAAAGCTAATAATTCGATTTTTTTCTGAATAAAAAACACACACAAAAAGGTTTAAACAAAGCTACCATTTTTATTTTTTTCCCTACAAATAGACCCAGGTTTTTGACGTGAATTTGGCTAATAAACTTGAATTTTTTTTCTTAAATGGACATTATTTTGGTCTCAACACCCCCTCCCCATTGTCAATTCTTGTCAAATTTTTCAGTACACCCTCCCCCTTATATTTACTGACATCATTTATAAATAGCTTTAAAGTCCTACTTATCCAGGGGCCGAGACAACGGAATTCTACTGTATATACTCGTGTTTTTTTATAAACATAACGCTTATAGGAAGAAAAAAAAGGCATATGTAAGCATATTTTTGAGCCTCGATAAACCATTTTAAAAACTTTATTTTATTTAATTAAAAATTTTGAATATATTTATTTCTAAATTTAAATCAACAAAAACTGAAGTTTATAACAACATTAATTAAGCTGCATTAAAACCAAAACAAAAATACAGAATAAGTCAACTTTTTATATTTATTTTTACTTTTACCCATAACCTTTAGTAACGCGCACATTTTTAGAAATTATTGAAATAGGTATATTTTATTAGAATATGCTTAAGCTTAAGCATATTTTTGAGCTTATAAAAAAAACATGTGCATTCCTCCCCATCATTCTTACTTTTACTATACGTAATGAGTTTAAAAAACATCATTATATATATTTATTATGGCACGTTTCGTAAGTTTGTTTGCGTTAAGAACTCTTTCGTATGTTGTGATGCAAAATACTTTTGTTTCGAAAGAAATTTTGATTTTTATCAATATTTCTAAAAATAATACCATAAAAATTTAATATGTTATTATACTGAAAATAAAAATTCATTATAATTTATAATTATTTATATATAGAAATATAAAATTTTATGCTAGACTAATTTTAATTGTAAAAATTAACATCTTTAAATTACAAAATGTTTATAAGATAAACATTTTAAAAATTAACATCTTTAAATCAAAAAATGTTTATAAGATAAACATTTTGTGATTTAAAGATGTTAATTTTTACAATTAAAATTAGTCTGGTCAAAGTTTAATCAAATTATAATTTTAAAATGCGTCATACTACGCGTCAATCTATATTCAAATTTCCAAAAATAGGTTAAAAGTAGTTCTTAAATACAATAAAATCTAAACTGCGCCAAAATAAATCAAATTAATAAAATGAGCTAAACAAAAGGTTAAGAAATAATCACTATATTAGAGTTGTAAACTGGTGGATTTTGTGCAATTCCGGAAAAACAACATTCCTGAAAAACAACATTTTTTCGTACTGAATATTAAAAAACATTTAAAATCGTCCATGTTCATTTCGCAAATGCTACTTCCGAAATTTAGCATTTCACAAGTTGACATCGTTTTCTAATTTATTTTATAAATATTTAACAACCTTGAGGAATAAAAACAGTTCGTAAATCTAAATAAATTTTGAAACAAGTAAACATTTTGTAAGTGTTATTAAATTTTGTATGTAAATAAGTTATAAGTTTGAGTGTTGACATATATATATATATATATATATATATATATATATATATATATATATATATATATATATATATATATATATATATTATATATATATATGTATATATATATATATATATATATATATATATATATATATATATATATATATATGTATATATATATATATATATATATATATATATATATATATATATACATACATATATATGTGTGTATATATATATATATATATATATATATATATATATATATATATATATATATATATATATATATATATATATATATACATACATATATATGTGTGTATATATATATATATATATATATATATATATATATATATATATATATATATATATATATATATATATACATATATATTTATATTTATATATACATACATCGGCGGCCCTGCTTATATGCATATATTTATATAATCAGAACTTCTACTATATGCTAGTTTTTATTTCTAAGTAAGTTACTTGCAATTAAGTTACTTGCAATTAAGTTGCTTGCAATTAAGTTACTCGCGTTAATAAATATCTGAAGCTATATGATTTATTATTTATATTATTAATAATTTATATATGTTATTTATATTAAAGGCTAAATAATGTATATGCTGTCAAAATGAAATTAATTACTAATAATTTCGCTCGTAGTTTTTGCACTACCACAGCTTTCTATGATATGTTGTATAGAATAAAACAGGGTAAAATGAAATAGCGGGTAGAATGAAATAGTTATGACAATGTTTATTCTTTCGCTCTTAACTAATTATTGAATAATTTTTTCGCAAATATTCTTTGATCACGTTGTAGAGAATATTTTGCTGAGTAAGATTTATAAAAAAGTTTTGTTATAAATTTATAAGTTTTTGAAAGCGTAATTAGATTTTTTTTTATTTGCCTGAAAAGTGAACTAAAAACTCTCGCAAATTAAAATCGGTATCTCTGAACTTAAAATGTTTACTGGTACAACTTTTCTATCAAGAATCTTTTTTCAAGATTAAGTTTTGTATTTAGGAAAAAAAGTTATGAGTTTAAAACGAAAAAAGTATGTTGTGGGATTGAATGAAATACGTAAATAATAAGCAAAGCAAATCCTTACGTGTTTTAAAAGTGGCTTTTAACAAATGTCAAAAGTCTCAAGGGACCGATCAATCTCTATAAATTCTATTATATTTATTAAATCGATCGTTATTCTCAAATGAAATCTATTCTAATATGAAATGATACGAATGAAACTTTTTTTTGTTCGGTTGTTTTTTAATATTTATTATAAAATGTTTTTTACTGGTTATTATTGGTTGTTTTTTCCAGAAAAGAATTGTTTTATTTGCACAAAGATATGCGTATTTCATTCTCCCCAAATGTCAGGGTAAAATGGATTAAATTTTTTTTTAATCTAATAAAGTTTTCTCAAAAACTTTAAATTTTTTTTTCTTTCGATTCTTATATATTTAAATACATCTCAATATTCTCTACAACTTAAAAAAAAAAATTAGATAAAATCTTTTTTCCGTAAAAATAAATAATTAAAATCCTTAACTATTCCATTTGACCCCATTATACTTTAATCATGCTACCTAGCTGATTCTAAATTAACTTAAACACAGCAGCGTTTTTTGCAGCGTTTTTCCTTGTTTAAAAAGGTTAAAAACCATAGCCATCTAGAAATACTAATAGAAACATCTATCAAGTATTTCTAGATAGCCATGTTTAAAACACTATATTTCAAGGAAAATGAGAGTTTTTAGACATTTTGCATTCTCTTTAAGTTTTTAAGACTTGTGTTGCTGTTAAAGCTGTTTCATTCTTTTTATTGGTTCATGTTTTTTTTAAATTGTAAGATGTATTTAGTAATACTATAGTTTGGAATATGATATTTAATATAGCTTACTTACAGTGCAAAGTGGGTCGAAAGTGACATTTCCTAGCCGAAACCCCAAAAAAGGTGTTTTAAATTAAAAAAAAATTATTACTAACGGTTTATTTATTGAAAAACACATTAAAAAAAAAGAAAATAGTTTTGAAAAAGCTTCGATTTTTTTTGGATTATTACTCAAATTTGTTAAAAAAATCAATTTTTTTTTGTTAAAAAATATTCTGTTAACAAGCATTACAATTAACAATAAGAACATTATTATTAATTTTTTTGTTCGGTATAGTATTCTATAGCAGGCTCTGGCAATAAATCAATGGCACTAAAGGGTGACTTTTTTTGTTATTTTGTATCGTTTTCTAAATATGCAAATAAAAGGATGAGATCTGAAACGTTGACACACTGTTTTGGTATTGAGATACCTAACTTCCAGACATGGAGAACACTCCAAACATTTATATTTTCATGTTTATGTCAAATAAGGGTACTTTGCAAATAATTTATAAACCACTAAAGTTTCACATATGGTTCATTAGGTGGAAAGCTAACTTATTGAGCTAACTTTAGAGTCCCTCAGGAAAGAAAAATTATCAATTTGTAGCTTAGTGCTTAAACACGGAACTTACACAAAAAAAAAAAAGAGAAATACCTAGTCTCTTTTCTGTAAGCAAATAATTATGTACTTGAAGTTTAATAAATATGTAAGTGAAATGGAACGGAATAAAAATAGTCTAAAAATACACCAAGTGTTTAAAAAAATTGTTTAATTGAAGTTTTTGAATTTAACAATCATAATTCGAAGCTGCCCCAGGTTGTGGCAGATTTGAACATTTTTGCGCATCTTGCTAGTACGAATATACTGACTTAACTAATAAAATAAAATTTATAAAAATAAAGTAATTTATTTCCTTAATGATTATTTTAACTGTTCAAAACAAAAAAAGTTGAAAAAAATAGTTTTTTTGAATTTTTATAATATATAACAAAAAGTGTTCAAAGGTACCCCCTTTCCCCTATGTTATTTTTTATTGCATGTTTCATTAAACACGTTTTATTTGTTTGAAATTGACTGTGAATAAATCAAACTTAAAATAAAATGTTGATCATGTAGTAAGCAAAATAGCTTTTTTAATTAAGAAGTTAAAGATTTATGTTTTTTCACAAGAATTAGCTAAGAATTACACTGCCATTATAGATTGGTTATTATTGCATTTTGTATCGATTAAGTGTTAAACATTTGTATCGATTATAATTATATTGCTTTCAGAAATTATAAAATAAATTATAAACAAATAATGTTATTGTAATGCCTTTAAGTAGTTAAAGTGCAATTTAATAACTTTATATTTTTACTGCAGTAAAGGTGATTTTCCACTCATCCGTTTTTCTACGCGAAAGGGAAAGGGAACGGAAAAATAATCACGTGAGCATGCGCAGTTTTCTTACGGACAAGTAAAAACTTTTATTACACATGCTCACGTGATTATTTTTCCGTTCCCTTTCCCTTTCCCGTAGAAAAACGGATGAGTGGAAACTCACCTTTATAACTTCACGTATCACATGTGTAATTATGACTAGTTAACTACATATATTGTATATGTAG